GGGGATGAGAGACCCTGCATCCAAACAGATCGGTGAAAGAGGAAAGGAAACAAGATTTAGAAAGCAAGAGTTGAAATCCGGGGTTTGTCTGGACCTCTCATGCAGGGTCCTGCAGCAGCTTAGGTGATGTCACGCTTCGGGCCCAACCATGGTAGTGGCTTACTCTTTATTTAGATACTTCTTTTCTGTTTTCTATTTTCCCCGGATTTATCGCATTGGCTCAACGGTCTCGATCTAGCTAGCTTGCCTGCTCGGCGGCATTTGCTGTCCAGATTGATGAAGGATAAACGGGAATTAAAGCCTAACACAGCTATAATAACCTGCTCTAGATGCGCAACTCGATATCTCAAGGTTCGTATAGGTACAGCTCAAGTTTCAAGACATGGGGACAGCGTGCATGCATATACGTTTGTTCGCTTCAAAAGAACATAAGCGATTGATAATAACATGATTATGAATAAACTCTGGAGGCCACATGAGGACATTTATCGGCGCCAAGGAAGTGAAAGATACATTTTCACAATACAGGTCAGATCTAAACGAGTCCATGATCAACCCAGCTCTGATTCTCTGATTTTACTTGGCATACATCATCGTTTAACCTGAACTAAAATGCTATTCTGGGTCAGCTTGGTTCTTTATTCATCCTCTGCCTCGCTTTTGAGCCAAATTGGCAAAGAACGTCACTTCTTGTTCAACATAATCTAGTTTCTTGGAACTATTCACTACCGCTTAGTATTCTTGGGCCTGGACAAGCAATTTCCCCAAAGAAAAAGGTCTCCACGGTTTGCATGTGTCGTGTTGTAATGAAGTCGCGTGTTTCCCAAATCGTGTCGATTTTGACTTTCCGCAGACCAGTTTTGTCCAAGACATTTACTTTTATGCACATCACTATCGCTAGCTTAAATACATTGTTTGGTCTTGAGATCAAGTCCAAGCACTTCGAGAGCTTTAGTTTGGTGTTGTTTAGCCCTTTAAAATAGCTGGCTTGGCAGGTAGATAGGCTTTAACTTGGCTCCTCTGAGTTCGACCCACGGTTCGTCATCCTCGACACCCGTCGTTTCGCGACCCAAATCGGATCAGGTGCTAAAATTAGCTATAAAGCTCCCTAGATCAATGGAGATGTCACTATTATATCATCTGATATTGAGAGCGAGTCCGGTATCCTGTAGTTATCCATGGAATTGCTTGTGTCAATTTCTAATTTGATTAGATAGTTTCCGCTAGTAGAAAGTCCCCCCCAGACGAAATAATGTGCCGAAAGTATGACATATACTTATGGATGTGGACGCTATACTGTCAACAACCACTGTATAGTTAACCATTTGTCTACCTAGATTTATACGGGACTAGGAAGTATTTTTTGAGGTCTTTTGAATCAGCACTTCACATGTGCTATCGGTGAATCAATTTAAAGGCCGCGGAAAGACGATGGACGTAATGCATATTTTACTTGACGAAGTATACGATATTGGTCCAATTTCCTCTGGTACTGAGTCGGCAGAAGTTACGATGAAAAGTTGACGTGGGCCCTGATTCATAAGGAAGCCTTGAAGTATGAGGGGCCCTCACGGTTTAACTTGCTGAAGCTTCCAGGACCGGAGAAGTCGATCTTCGTTTATGTGCCTGTTGGTAATTTGTAGTTCCTTCAGTCTATATCCATAGTGGAAGCATGGTATGATGATCAACGACAACCAACGAAAAGATGTACAATACAGCGAGTTCTCATGCATGCATATCAAGTGATGTACATTAACAATTGCAGATCACAAAGCAAAAAAAGCCGCAGCAACTCCGACACCACCAAGCACCACCCCCTTAGCCGTGGCGAGCGACATAGCCGCGTTCGTAGTCGGAGTCACAGATGCCGATGCCTTAGTGGAGCTCGAGCCTGAGCTTGTGCTCGTTGAAGTCGCCTCATTGGTCGAAGGTCCTGTGTTGGTTGGTTGCGACAGCCTGCGCCGATGCCAAAGAGACCTGACTCGAATAATCACTGGCTGTGAAAGGAATCTTTTTGAAGCAATAGTCTGCCCCGGCCCATTCGTCCTCAAATGACGTTGCAGTTTTTGTGGAAGTAGATGGGTTTTCCGTTCTGGGGGTCAAATCGTAAACACAGCAGTAAGCATCTGTGGTCTCGATCATCATATGACCATAGCAGCAGTTGGTTTGGTGTTTAAATGAATTTTTGTACCAGCTTTGGGGACAATCGCTCGTCGTTGTGGTAGCGGCGAAAGAGGGGGTTGCGGCGAGAGAAAGAATCGTTGGGAGGAGGAGGGCTTTGAGGGATGGTATATTGGTATTATAGGATAAGGTAAGAATGCGGTCAAATAAGGCTATGAAAATATAGAATTTAGAGAGTCGTCCGCTGGCCTTTATGGACGACATGTATGCCAGGGATTGAGGATTCAGTTATCGAGCACAAAAATGGCATGGTTGCCTTCTTGGTTGGAGTACGAAACTCCAGCGCGTTCCTAAACAAGGAAATTGAAAGCCAATAGCTTAGTACCAAAACATTAGGGCTACACAATCGGAATGACTAGGGAGCAAAATTGGGGAAGCGCTTGGGGAAAAGGAGGGTGAGCTCACTTGGTCATCCGATCTGCTCAGCGGAACTACATCGGAAGCGCTATCGACCATTTTGTCTCCTGTTCGCTGTCTTCATAAATTAAGGGGCTCGGGATTGTAATCCTAGATGCATAAGAGCATTCTGATTGGTCAGATCCATGCACAAAGTACTATCTCGCAGTCAATGTGCAGTAGTCGCCCTACTAATGTACACCAGCGTCTCATATGCCTGGATTGCAGAAGGCCACCAAACATTTAAGGCGCCATGCCATCCGCGATCCTTCGATTAAACAAACAAAAACAGCATGAGATCGAAACCACGCCCTGCAACAGTACACGACCTAGATGCCAGCGATAACCCTATTCTGCATACGAGGAAATCTGCAAAAATCGACAGAAAAAAGTCATCCAAGCCATCTCGAAAACAGACCAAGCAAATGAATGAGGGTATCTCAGATTGCATTATCGGCGAGTCGATCTATAAAGGTTCGATCGCAGAATTAGTGGAATGCCGCGGTCAAAATACCGGCATTCCCCTTACTATCTTCACTCGAAGTCAGGACACCAGTCCGGAGCGCAATGAAGTGCTGGGTTATAAATTCAGAAAGGTATTCGTTTCTGGTATGTTCTTTATTCGTCGTAAGGAGAGAGGGATGACTAATAATTGACGGACAGACGATCCGAATATTCTGGATGCCAATGCGACCTATGCCCCAATTACGGTATTCATAGCCAAACCTGACGAAGAACAATGCGATCCCAGTATATACGTCGAGCAGCGGGTGTTTCAGTGCGGACAGGAGAAGATCGTAGTCCACGAACTCAAATTCAAGGGCAAGGTCCAGGTCGAAAAGGAATACCTCTTCAAAGGATGCGGTGATGAAGACCTCAACCTCGGAAAGCGGGATCTCAGACTCAAGATCCAAACAGTAAGTACATCCTTTGGTGTTATGGGCCATTGGATTGTTCTAATTCGCATCTAGCTTGAGCAGCATATCTTCAACAGTTACATGCAACGGGCAAGTTACTATGGCTACGATATAAAAGATTGCATCTGGCTCAATGAACACACTATTTGTAGTGGACTCGCCCATACGGTTCAGCGTTGTGACGGATTGCCCCCTTATCAGATATCTTTCAACCCCGAAGATCTTGAGATTCTTCTGGATGCGAAGCTCAAGAGACCGACTTTGACAAGTGACGCGTCTGGTGAGGGGTTGGAGCTTCTGAGATTACGCTTCAAAGGGCAGGGAAAGCATACGGAGGATAATGGGCATGCGGGGGATCTCTTCCTTAGGGTTATGTACAAGTCTTCTTCCTAGGCAGACTGTATTCCTGTCTTCAAATACGGTCGAGTACCTACTCAGGGAGAAAGGGCTCAAGGCACCGCGGCAATCAAGAAAGTGGTTAGATCAAACATAATCTTATCTTCATTATCATAGACATAACACCATCTATCGTAGCATCATAGTGCCCAGACCCAACAAGATTGCAGCCGGGCCACGGGTGAAAAATAAAAGAAAAAAGAGAAACAAGAATTGAAAACAAATAAGACAAATCTAGAAGGCCTCACTGTCTTGCGGTTTTATCTGTAGCCAATTCATGTAACCAGAAATAAGAAGTCTTCGAATGCATTGTTTTGTGTGTTTCATGCCACTGTTAATATGTCATGCAGTCGATCAGAGAATAGTGCCAAACCTATAGCAAAGAGAAGAACAAGGAACGTTAGTAACTGGTTCCACGGCCAAGATGATTTGGAAGGAGGATTGGATCTATAGACAGGGCCGCGGATTGGCAAAGATGTCCAGGAAAGAAACGTAGGGAGATCCCAATGATCCAGGGAAATAGAGAGGCAAGGGGAAGGGAGGAGGTTACATACCCGAAAGTCTGCTTAATGCTGCGAACATAGTACATGTCCCAGTTCTGCTTGGTGACATCCTCCTGGCCAACAGGAACGCCAGACCAAGTAACACGCATCTGAGTAACACCGTCGATATCATTCTGGTCGAAGTTGATCTCTAGCGAACTGAAGTGACCCTCGGGCCACTGAGCCAGACGCCACTTCTGGACAATCTGCTTGGGCTCGTTGAGAGTCACGAACTCGCCAGTCACATTGCCGTCGAAGATGGCGAACTTGCCGCCAACCTGGGCGCCGTCAAACTGGCGGGGAGGGCCACGTGTGAAGGCAGCAATGCGCTGCGGGTCGGTGAAAGTGCTGTAGAGCTCGCCGGCTGTGGTACGGAACTCATCGGAGGCTGTCACGGTGGTGGTGTTGACGGCGACCTTGCCGGTCTTGGAGGTAGTGGTAGTCTGGGTGCTAGAGGCCTCGGTGGACTTGGTTTGAGGGTGGACGATGGCTTTAGGGAAGCCGCTGGAAGGGTTCACGCCGGGTGCGTGCTGGAGGTCCTTGCCGTGCTCGGTGATGAGGGCGTTGGCGAACCCGCCGAGGGCGGAACGGAGTTGCGCGACGAGCTTTGTGCGTACCAGGTCCTTTACGGGCTGCTTGGAGTTGGAGTCGGCGTGGTTCTCGATCTCGAACTGTTTTACGGGTTAGTTTTACTGGGGGGGTTGTCTTGGGAGACGGGGACAATGAACGTACGACGTACTCATCTTCCTCGGTGTCGTGGGCTACCTCGGGGATGCGAATAGTGCCGCTGACATCCTCGGCGTCCTTGGTCTTACCTGTGGAAGCGTCTCAGCCTGCCAGGTCCAGGGAAATAAATTGATATTGGACTACAAACCTGAGTATTCTAGCGACACTTTGACATCGAAAAGAGTGATGACCTTGCCCTTGCGCTGGCTGACATCTACGTCGCCATCCATGGACAACAGCTTGTCTACTTTGGCTGACACGCCCCCTTCCTCGACACTGATGCCGACCAGGTTCTGCTGCAAGTATTCCTTGGCCCAGCCAGAGACATCCTTGTTGACCCAGTGCCAGTTGTTGGGGTTGTGAAGAACCATGATGATGAATTGAAGCTAGGGGAAAAGAAAAATTCTGATTTGAGGGTAAGAGGCAAGTTCCTCCTCCTTAATTCTGTGTGCAAGCTTTATCGCGTATAGGGTGGGTTCTGTTGGAATTCCATGTTAGCCATGAACATAATTTTTTTCATGAGAAAAATTGCATGCAAGGAAGCCATTGTCAGGACCGGGGCGTATGTTCCCGGACGAAAAAGCGTTGTCCGCAAATAAGATGGTTTAAACCACCTATCTCAGACTGGTGCCAGCTGATGTCTCTTCATATGAGGCCAATTGGAAAATTTCGAGCTCGAGGGGCAGAGTGGAAATTTTGCCACCTCTCGCTCTGGTGAAAGGAAATGCAGAAAACAATGCAGTGCACACTTACAGTTGACGATGTTTCAAGTCCAAAAATCAAAGACTTGGGGAATGAGAAGAAAGAGAAAGGAAGATGAAGAGTTGAGGGGGAAGAAGCTATTTGAGCGCGGAAGACTCTAGAAGGTGCACGTGACTGTGGGTCTGAATTATTCACCATCGTCATCTATCAGCTTCTCTCATCAACGTCCAGAAATGAAATGTTCAAGATTCAATATTGTATATTTAGATCCGAAACCCTGAAGCCCAGTCCAAGGCCAGAAAATCAAGTGTCGCGGCACTGCCAGAAAAACCAGATCTGTAACGAACGAATGGGGATATCACATAAACCAATAGCATAAAAAACACTCTATTCCTCCAATTGCTCCAATTCCTCCCAACCATCCTCACTCACAAGCTGCTCTTTCACCCGTTCCCTGAGCCCTTCAATCTGACTCCCCAGCGCCTCGGTCCATTGACCCTCAACTGTAGCAACCTTGTCTTTGAGGTCCGTCGTAAGAGCCAGCTCTTCATCAGCACGAGTCATCTCCATCTCACGACGCACGTCCTCCTCCGTCTCCCCTCTTTTAATACGCTCCGCTTCCAGGAGATTGCGATTCGCTCGCATAACAGCAGACCGCACCTCATGCAACAGACAAAGCAGATTCGTCTGCGACTCGATGAACTGGTAACTCGACTTCTCGGCGTGTGATAGCAGCGTGTACAGATACTGCAGCGGGTGAGAGTGGTAGCTCGGATTCTCCTCGTATTCATCTGCAGGAATCTGCACCTGGAAACCACGCAGATCCTCAGGCACCTGCTGCACAAGCGCCAAGAGCGATGGGGCAATATCCCAGAAAGCGGATAATTGCACCTCCACGCCTCGCACGACGTTCTGCTCAATGACATTCAGGAACGATTCAAGTCGGGAAAGCGCCTCGTTCTCATACTCTACGCGCCTGTCCAGCGCGTCCTGAGAAAAGAACGCTTGTGTCTCCCGCAGCTTGTCTTCGTTCTTGTTCTGCTTGTATGGCAGGAGCGCGACGGCTTTATACTTGTCGTCACGGTCACTGACGAGGTCGAACAATTCGCGGTGAAGCAGCTCGCGGGCTTCGAAGAGCCATTTCAGCTGTGTCAGTTTCTCTAGGAGTTCGGGCTTTTCATCGCCCTCTTCCTGTGTTGAGTCTGGTGTCTCACGCTGTGCATCGTCGAATAGCATGCTGCTCAATTTGTCGATGCAAGCTGTTGCTCTGCTAATCCTGTCGGCAAGTATGACATGTATGGGCTTCAACACGATCTCTTGGTACGTATCAAGCTGACGTTTTACCATCGCCCTTTCACGCTCATTCTCCTCGACGATCATCGCTGCCTCCGCTTCTGCCGCCTCAGCGAATGTGAGACTTCCTTCCTGGATCTGGCTTTGGATATTGGATTTGAAGTGGCGGTGACCCTGGTCGACTTGTACTTGATGCTCCTGGAGCATCCGTTCCACGTCAGCCTTGTACCGATGCCTGGTGGTCTTGATTTCAGTCAGGTCCGTAATGGAACGGACTGTAGTTCGATGGGTGACGAGGTCTGGGTGGCTGTTATTCACAGCAGGGTGATGTCGAGGATAAGGCGGAGGCAATGTGATCAAGCGCGAAACATCCAGTCTGCGGGTTTCCGTATACTGATGTCCACTACTGGTAGAATTCGCAGGAGACTCTTCATGCCATCCGACCTTCTCAGGTGGATACTCATCAGGGCCATATTCCGTGGTCCTGTAATTCATACTCACGTCTTTGGGTTGAGAAGGCGTCAACTCCTGGTCCCACTGCATCGCCTCCCGTGGCAAGCCCATATACTTTGATTCTCGCTTGGAACGTTGAACCCTCCTCTCCCCACCCTCACTGCTAGAACCAGTTTTTGACTCCCACCAGCGGCTTGGTGCACGACCCCGAGAGCTCATCTCATCATTGCTCATATTGAGACTAGCAATCGGCGACAGACAAGGTTGGTAGTTATTCCACCACGCAGACTCAGGCCGACCAGCTCGGTTTGAGGGTATATCCAACTTTGGCTGGGGCTTAGCCTTCGATGGCTGAATGAGCGGCATCTCGAAGAGGTTTCGACGCACATCATCAACTTGAAAGGATTCCCAGACCTTCGCATATCGTTGGCGTCGGATTTGAGACTCGGCCAGGATATAGTCCGCAAAAGTCTTGAGCGCTTCAGTCTCATCTATAGCGCTGGATTCCTTCTCGATGAAAGCCTTGTGCCGTTCCATGGCATCCTGCAAAAATGTAGGGTCTTGTTTGATAATCGCTTCCATCGATGCCTGCTGCGTTTGCTGCCCAGGAGTCCGACGCGGTGACAATGGCTTCATCATTGACACAGCGTCGTTCGGCATGTGAAGGATGTGTGAGATAGGACGGTCTTCCGCTCCTCGTGACGGAGCACGAGAGCGTGGTCTAACCTCCTTACCGGAATTAAGAGGTGGAGTTGGCAGAGCCTTTGGTGGAATTACCTGGCTTGCTTCTTTGGGGTATCCAGAAGAGCCCTCTCCATTGGGTGAGAAGGGAGGCGTTTGAGCAAATGCCGCAGAGGGACCAACACCAGCGGAGCTAGGTTCTTGTCTGGGGGTACCATAGGACGATTGGTCCGAAAAGAGACCAGTGGAACCTGCCCGGGACCGCGAGGCAGTCCGCTGACCCTCCGATCCAATACTGCGTGTGCTGCGAGGAGTGTACCTAGAGGACTTCGGATGCTGAGTCTGATCCGGGCTGGTGCTTTGGTCTGGAAGGATGAGATTCGAAGGTTTGATCTGCTCGAGCGCATCGGCCCATGGGTTGCCACTCGTGGATACTGCGCTGGTGACATCTTCATAAACCTGGCTTTGGCGGTTACGTCGTTCGATTCGTCTTTCACGGATACCCTTGGCACTAGGGTCGCGAATTGCTGAGCTGCGGAAAAGACCTCCACTCCCGGGTGTTCTTTGGTTGGCTGTGTTATGGGGATCGGTTTCTGACGG